ACAGACAGACACAGGTACAGACACAGAGACACAGGTACACATGGACACAGACAGACACAGGTACAGACACAGAGACACAGGTACACATGGACACAGACAGACACAGGTACAGACACAGAGACACAGGTACACATGGACACAGACAGACACAGGTACAGACACAGAGACACAGGTACACATGGACACAGACAGACACAGGTACAGACACAGAGACACAGGTACACATGGACACAGACAGACACAGGTACAGACACAGAGACACAGGTACACATGGACACAGACAGACACAGGTACAGACACAGAGACACAGGTACACATGGACACAGACAGACACAGGTACAGACACAGAGACACAGGTACACATGGACACAGACAGACACAGGTACAGACACAGAGACACAGGTACACATGGACACAGACAGACACAGGTACAGACACAGAGACACAGGTACACATGGACACAGACAGACACAGGTACACATGGACACAGACAGACACAGGTACAACCATGACAGTGATTTTATTGTCACTCTTTTTAATGTCCGGTGATTATTTATGATTTTAATGACTCGTGTGTGTTGCCTTGTGTATGGATTGTGCTATACAGATAAACTTGCCTTCATAAATCCTGGAGCATACATTGAACACATAACGGCCAACAACGCTGAGCTAGCTTGAACCTTTAGCCTCCAAACAGCTCCGACAGACGTGACGCTGCATGTACAGGTCTGCACTCTCGGAGTAAATAGTTTGTGGCTGCAGTGTTTTACTTTTAACAGATGGAGCAAGAATGTTCAGGAGCCGTGCTTTTGTTCTCACTCTCCTTTGTACTGCAGCTGTAATTCTTTAAACTCAAATGTCAAGTCTGTATCAAAAGGGAAGAGACTTAGAAGTAATGTTGGTTTTATTAACTCGTGGTCGTCAAATGGATTCAGCTTGGACACGGCAAAAAAATGATAAAATATGAGTTGATTGATGCTTGAATTGAGTGGTTTTTATCTTAAAGTAACAATATGTAAGATTTTTATGTCAAGTCATCATTAAAGGGCCCTAATCTGTCCAAAGGCATAAAACTGCTCTTTTCCAACACTTCTTTAACTGATAACAGTAGTTCAGTGATATTTGAATTTCTAAATTACTTTTCCAGCCCCTAAATCTTGTTGTTTTCATTTTGATGTCCCGCCCTCCACCGTTTCACCAATCAGAGGGTTTGTGATCCGGGCGCCAGTACTCACCGCGTGGGGCTAATCTCACTGGTAAAGTACCATGTGGCGCAGAACTAAAAAAGGTCTCGTTATGATTCTCAAATCATTAACGACAAAACAAGGAATAAAACCAGGATTTCTATCTTTGTGAAAAAGGTGTTGGTTATAGATTTGTTGTTGACAAAACTCTTGTCTATTCAGCTGTTATGGTCCCAGCTGGATTCGTCTGCATATCTGGCAACCTGAGTCAGGGAGAGTGGGAGAGGCTGCAGTAACACTTTTGTAAAACTGTTGCTTTATCTTTTCATTCCCAGGGAGACATTTCTTGTATCTTTTTAAAACTAGATAATTTTGCTTTGTCCTTTTGGCAAATGTTGGTTAAAGGCGCTATACCTGTTTCTGCAATGTTTGAATGTTTAGCACCGCCCCCAACTCGCTCACAGAGTTCTCATTTCCCCTACGCTCTCATAACACAGAGCCACCTAGTTGTATTTGCGATCTGATACGTATGCTAACATTGCTAGCATTAGCACAACTTGTAAGCTGTGCAACAATCACTGATAAAATGGTACAAAAGCAACGCACTGCTAACACAATATATAAGTAAAAGAATACCGCTAGTTTCGCTTCCGGATGTATTAATTTAAACATTAGAATATATTCTAATATTTAATTATAATTTATTATACAGCTCCTCACAGCAGAACACTCCATCGACTTGAATGCAATTCTTCCGATCATTTTTTCTTGATAACAGAACTCTCAAACCAATAATGACCGCAGCCCCAATGCACTCTCTGTTTGTAATTCAGGTGTGTAAAATACTGCCATTACTCTGCAAGTACAACAAGCTATCAGCACCTGTCACTACACACTTGTCTGTGCAGAGAAGCTAGCGGAGCTAGCCACGCTCAATAAACAAATACATATCAATCAATCAACGCCATTAAACGTTAATCGGACAATACAGTATACATATACATCCTTAACACACATGCACGGACTTTTTCAGAATTTGCTGTCAACGTTTTCATGACAAAAATACTGATTTAAAGTGACAAAAAGCGATCGCGAAAAACCCGGAAGTTACCATGAAACAGCTAGCTAGCTTAGCTGTTACCTGCCTAGCACGTCCCGGTGAAACCTTTGGGAGCTAACTATTTTATTTGCAGTCATTAAATACATTTTGAATTATAAGGGCTGTCTAATATTTGTTCGAATATATTTATTTTTATTTTAGAATTATATTCGAATTTTGAAGTTGGAGCCCTGGTGTTTAGCAGCGCTGTAGAGGCTAGAGGACACAGGCTGTAGAGACTAGAGGACACAGGCTGTAGAGACTAGAGGACACAGGCTGTAGAGACTAGAGGACGCAGGCTGTAGAGGCTAGAGGACACAGGCTGTAGAGACTAGAGGACACAGGCTGTAGAGACTAGAGGACGCAGGCTGTAGAGGCTAGAGGACACAGGCTGTAGAGACTAGAGGACACAGGCTGTAGAGGCTAGAGGACACAGGCTGTAGAGACTAGAGGACACAGGCTGTAGAGACTAGAGGACACAGGCTGTAGAGACTAGAGGACACAGGCTGTAGAGACTAGAGGACACAGGCTGTAGAGACTAGAGGACACAGACTGTAGAGACTAGAGGACACAGGCTGTAGAGACTAGAGGACACAGGCTGTAGAGACTAGAGGACGCAGGCTGGTAGAGGCTAGAGGACGCAGGCTGTAGAGACTAGAGGACACAGGCTGTAGAGACTAGAGGACACAGGCTGTAGAGACTAGAGGACACAGGCTGTAGAGACTAGAGGACACAGGCTGTAGAGGCTAGAGGACACAGGCTGTAGAGACTAGAGGACGCAGGCTGTAGAGACTAGAGGACACAGACTGTAGAGACTAGAGGACGCAGGCTGTAGAGGCTAGAGGACACAGGCTGTAGGGGCTAGAGGACACAGGCTGTAGAGGCTAGAGGACGCAGGCTGTAGAGGCTAGAGGACACAGGCTGTAGAGACTAGAGGACACAGGCTGTAGAGGCTAGAGGACACAGGCTGTAGAGACTAGAGGACACAGACTGTAGAGACTAGAGGACACAGGCTGTAGAGACTAGAGGACACAGGCTGTAGAGACTAGAGGACACAGGCTGTAGAGACTAGAGGACGCAGGCTGTAGAGGCTAGAGGACACAGGCTGTAGAGGCTAGAGGACACAGGCTGTAGAGGCTAGAGGACACAGACTGTAGAGACTAGAGGACACAGACTGTAGAGGCTAGAGGACACAGACTGTAGAGGCTAGAGGACACAGGCTGTAGAGGCTAGAGGACACAGGCTGTAGAGACTAGAGGACACAGACTGTAGAGACTAGAGGACACAGACTGTAGAGGCTAGAGGACACAGGCTGTAGAGACTAGAGGACACAGACTGTAGAGACTAGAGGACACAGGCTGTAGAGGCTAGAGGACACAGGCTGTAGAGACTAGAGGACACAGACTGTAGAGACTAGAGGACACAGACTGTAGAGGCTAGAGGACACAGGCTGTAGAGGCTAGAGGACACAGGCTGTAGAGACTAGAGGACACAGGCTGTAGAGACTAGAGGACGCAGGCTGGTCACTGCTCGTTCTGTGAGTGGAGGAGAACGTCCCGCTCAGACTCTACTCAGCACTTTTCACGGCATACATTTCATACACAGCTGAATCAATGACCTCAAGTTTTCAATTAAAGTGGTTCTCACCCCCGCTCCTCGGAGCTTACGTCACTCACATTTCCTGTTCAAATCTTCCTCTAAATGGGCGTGGCCTGGAGGACTAAAGGGGGCGTGAACGAGACTGGGCCGTTTACATTGCTCTGGGCGGGGGGCTGCTGACGTCAGGTCCAACTTGCAGACGTCAGGTCCAACTTCTGTGCCAGTGTTGGCGCCAGATTCAAAATTCAAATGTAGTAATACAGGTCGCCAGCAGATGGCGCCTCACAGACGGTTTTAGGCAGAAAGTCTAACTTTCAACTAATTTGCACCAAAGTGACAAAATTATGACCAGGATATGTAGACAACACTATTGGACACTCATTTATACAGTTTAACAGCAAAAAAAAAGTGGATTTGAGGGTGAGTTGTCCTTTAAATTATGTATTATGATACAACTTGTATGTAGTAAAAAGCATTTTTGTGAACTACTTAGAAAAAAAATCGGGTATAGCTTCTTTAAGGCTCAGTCCGAATGTGCTCAAATTAAGAAACATTTTGTCAAATTTGAGAAAGGTTAGACTTCCCATTTTTTGCACTGCAGTTTTGTTTCTGTCTTGGGCACAGTCGGCACTAGATTATAAACGGAATCTGGTCTGAAGCAGAAGAAACAATCCTACTTTGGAATTAGTTTCGGACTAATAAGCCCTTAAGTTTTAGTAAGATGGTTAAGGTTAGGGTAAAGGGTTGGTTGGGGTAATTCTAAGGGAATGACTGGTTAAGTTTAAGCATGGATCTATTAGTTTAGGTAGTTATATTTACTTCCGCTTGCGTCCCGATTCCGTATATGATCTAATGCTGACCTCTTGGGCACTACTGTTTTGCTGTTAGCCTCACTGCTAGCATCACTGTTTACGTGTGAACAAAACAGTTGTGGTGTTCCTTGGCCTAAGTTAGGTAAATGTTTCTGCTTTGGCTTCCGTGCCGTTGGACGAGGATGAGTTCTGTTCCTCATCACATCATGATTTTCACCGTTCTCAGCTTCACTTCAGCTCCTTTTCTTTGTTGCTTTGTTTAAAACCATGGCACCCCCCATAAAAAAAATCCAAATTGTTTGTAGAATGAACCGCAAGGAACAAGGGCTGTTGGAGGTGGCGCCATGGACTGTGCTGTTGTCGTCTGCGATGGGAACACTGTCCAGCTCCCGCTTTCCCTTGGTCCAAATTCATCATATTCTTCATAACAAACATCATCTACTGTTTCAGCTTCTTTCTAAACACTGTGGTCTCCAAACAGCAGGCACGTGACGAGAGAAAGGGCCGAGCAAAGGGTGCAGGGTTCATTAGTTGCAGATGATGATGATAATAATAATAATAATAATAACAATGCATTGGTTTTAAACAGAGCTTTTCAGGACAAAGACGCTTCTTATGTCATCATTCTTTCTCTCCAAACACGAACCCTCGACAAATACACATAGCATGAGTGATACAATATTTCAGTGTTAAACCCAAAAGTGCTGACGATGCACATTCCTCTCATCTGCAGGGGTTGTCATGGTAACCCAATTCAATTTAGAGGCGATCTGGTTTGCATTTTTACACGCCACAAATCCCCCGGTGTTTTATGTGGACTTTCTTATTCAGCGTTGACCATGAAACTCTGACATTTGTTTCATGTTGATTTTGGCAACAGTCTGTAAAAGATGTATTCATATTCTATCTGGTCTCTCTCTGGTCTCTCTCTGGTCTCTCTCTGATCTCTCTCTGGTCTCTTTCTGGTCTCTCTCTGCTCTCTCAGCTTTCTCTACTCTCTCTCTGGTCTCTCTCTGGTCTCTCTCTGGTCTCTCTCTACTCTCTCTCTGGTCTCTCTCTGGTGTCTTTCTGGTCTCTCTCTCTGTTCTCTCTAGTCTCTCTCTCTGGTCTCGCTCTCTGGTCTCATTCTTCTCTCTCTAGTCTCTCTCTCTGGTCTCTCTCTGGTCTCTCTCTAGTCTCTCGCTCTGGTCTCATTCTTCTCTCTCTGGTCTCTCTTCGGTCTCTCTCTTGTCTCTCTCTGGTCTCTCTCTGGTCTCACAGTCCTCTTTCAGATCAGAGCACCTTGTTTCGATCTCTTCTTTCTTTGTCTGTGATGTTTCCAAACCACAGTCACAAAACCAACAAGCAAATATTTGTCATCATGATGACAAAACGCAGGCACCAGTCTCCTGCTGGTCCCAGAGTCAGGACTAAACATGGAGCTAGAGCAAGAGTCTTCCTAAAATGTGAGACAGACTTCTTCCCTGACAATGTTCAAATCCAGGTAAAATTCTGTCTTGCTGTGCTGAAAACTGATGGATTAAATATGTTTTCCTTTTTTTATAATAATAATAAAAAAATATTTATAAGATAAGATTTATTTATCTCATATAGGAGAAATGTACATGTCACATTTGGCATGAATGATTTATGAATTATTTATGAATATTTAAATGACTTGCACTCTGAGTTAGCCTGGTTGTACCACACCATAGTACAAATTACATTCGGTAATACGGTCTGGATTTGCTCCATTGACTCCGTGAACATGTGGGAGGGGTTCGAGACGATTGGATCTGAGTTTACGTCATCTCCTTTGCCGCTAACGAAGCCTGTGTGGAGCAGCGCCACAATCTTTGCCATTTGCTAAACATTCCTCTTGCTCCGGCTTCAATTTCTTGATAGAATCAGACCGGAATCATACTACGGAATACTATCTCATTCTTCGCCAAACTACAACCTGTCCGTTCGGCGCAAACTCTTGACGTCACCCGCATCTAACTACAACACCCACCTCCGGCGCTCTCTGATTGGTCGGATGGAATTCCACTGATTGTAATCGCAAACACAGGGACCAGACCCACACTGCAAAAAATGATCAAATATGAGATGATAATTGCTAGAATCGAGTTTTTTTTAACTTGACTTAAGTTCATTCTGACTGTCTTAAAATGCGATTTGCCAATGAGACAAGCAATTTTGACTTGATTCAAGAACTATTGCTTTATTTTCTCATTCCAAGAGAGAAATATCTTGTATCTTTTTAAAACAAGACAATTTTTCTTGTTCCACTGGAAAATCTTGTTTTAAGGCAGTCAAAATGTGCTCAAATTTAGATACATTTAGCCAAATTTGAGCATATTTTGTCTTTAATTCTGTCATCTTTTGCAGTGCAGACGTTACATGCAGGAGTATGAACTGTGCTATACATATAAACTGGCCTTACATGGGTCTACTCTGATTCTACTGTCCACTGCAGCAGCATTAGTCATGATCAACCTTACCTAATCAGAAAGTCCAACGATTCTCACTCCTCCATAACTGAGCATTTTTATGGAACGCTAAAATGTTTAACACATGTTGTTTACATTTTACATTTTGTTTGTTTTTCAGACAGAAAAAACAAAGGAACCGAAGCCAAACCAAACCGGAGAGAAGGGGTCGGGCCCCACGGGAGAGGAGGCAGGAGAAGGAAAGGCTATGCTAGGACAACCACAGCTCCAGGCCTCACCACCAGCTCTGTCACCTAACCACACCCCAGACACCGCTGCTGTCCTGAGGGGGGGGGGGGGTTGGGACAGTCCCTCCAGCATGTCCCCTCCCCCCCCCCTCCCGCCCTGACTCGCCCTCATGCTGCTACAGTCCGTGTGATCAACAAAGAACCACGACAAAAACACACAATGGTGTATTATTTCATGACTGCGGAGAACTTGTCCATTCTTGTCTATTGCAAACCTCTGTGTGTGTGTGTCTGCGCTATGGTCTCGCGCACACACACACACACACACGGCACTACAAAAACGTTAAAAATCGCATCAGAATCGAGGACTCGCCGCCGCTGGTCTGAAGGATTTTTGTGGTTCCAGTCTGGTTCTCATTTGACTGTGTTTTTATTGTGAAAGAGCTCTAGCTGTCCACGATACCAACACAATCTCTACGACTCTATTATGTATTTATGAGCGGGGGAGAGAGGAAGAAGCGAAAGGCACTGGAATATATTTGTGATTGTACATTGACAGATGGTTTTATTAAATATGTGTGAAGATGTGTAGAAGCTGTGGGCGATTATGCCGTTGGCCACACTGCAAAAGATGACAGAATTATAGACCAAAAAATGCTCAAATTTGGCTAAATGTATCTAAATTTGAGCACATTTTGACTGCCTTAAAACAAGATTTGCCAGTGGAACAAGAAAAATTGTCTTGTTTTAAAAAGATACAAGATATTTTTCTCTTGGAATGAGAAAATAAAGCAATAGTTCTTGAATCAAGTCAAAATTGCTTGTCTCATTGGCAAATCTCATTTTAAGACAGTCAGAATGAACTTAAGTCAAGTAAAAAAAAAACTCGATTCTAGCAATTATGATCTCATATTTGATCATTTTTTGCAGTGCAGAGTCTGAAGTACATTTGTGACTGCTGCTTCCTGTTGTCGGAGGAATGTGCAGAGATCAAATCAAACACACACCGTTGCATTTATCAGCTTCATGAACGTGTAAAAGAAGAAACATTTTGCCAAAGATGATTTCATGACCAACTATTGAACTCTTTACAAATCACACCAATCACATTAGTGGATCCTGGGAGCTTTCCTTTAAGATATACAGTACTTGCTGGACTGTTAAACGCACCAAATGAAGTAGGATTTGTCCATGTATAGGCCGCACCTGAGTATAAGCCACGGGTTTTCATGTTGAAGATACAGTCAATGATTTATCCAAACGCAATTTTTAGAATACTGTGGGGAACGTCCCAAACCGTTTACCGTAAACCCTAAAAGTAGTCAAGTTATCATGTGTTTTCAAATAATAATAATAATAATGCATCTGTTTTATATAGCCATTTTTGGGCTCTCAAAGACACATGTCATTATTATTTTTCTCCAAACAAAGTGGTGATGAACTACTACTATAGTCACAGCTGCCCTGGGGCACGCTGACAGAAGCGAGGCAACCAGTCTGTGCCATCGGCCCCTCCCACCACCACCAACCATTCACACACACACCAGACTCACTCTAATGTTGGTGTCTTGCCTAAGGACACAACAACGCTTTACAGCCGCAGCCGCCCCACTGGCACCTGGTTTTTCCCAGAGGTTAAACAGAACTCAGTGGGATTCGGTGGAGAAAGTCTTGTGGTGGACTCAAACCCACAACCTTCAGGCTCAACGGCCAATGCTCTACCAACTGAGCCACTGTCGCTCCGTTCCAAATAGTAAAGGACATGACCAGACACGTGCAACGTCAAAAAAACGGATCATAAATGTTTTAGAGCGGACCCATAGAAAGAAACCAATAGGATTCGTCAGTGGCACCTGTCTGAGTTTTTACTGAGTCAGATTTTCCAAAACACCAACGACGGCTGAATCACAAACCCTCAAAGTGATCATTTCATGTTGTTGTGGCAAAGAGGAGAAACTATTACAGAAACGTGCTACTGCTAAGCTAACCTGAATCCTCTACTGCTAAGCTAACCTGAATCCTCTACTGCTAAGCTATCCTGAATCCTCTACTGCTAAGCTATCCTGAATCCTCTACTGCACCTTTAATAATAATAATAATAATAATGATAACACATTGTACTTTTTGGACACTCAAAGATAAGATTAGTTTATTTATTTATTAATGGAGAAATGGACAAAATAGAATCACTCTGGGTGTGCAAAAAGACAGGAATAGTGCAAACATGTTCAAAAGTGTTTTTGAGTGCGAGGTATTATATACACAATTAAAATGATAAGTGACTACAGCACTTTACAAAAGGACGGGTTTATAAGAATCAAAGATAAAAAGTTGGTGGTACTTTTGTTTCCATTGTGAGTAACAGGAAGTCACAAACTAGGATTCTGCTTATTACCATCGATAACACTTTTTAAAGAATCTGTAATATCTCATTTACTTCAAATCTCCCAGAAGATAAAACCTAAACTCATTTAAAATAAAAGTTCTTCTTTCGCTAAATTTTCTTCAAAATGTATTTACAGTAAATAATTTTCTATCCTCAAAGAAAGCGAGTTTAATTCCATGAGTCTGTTCTGTTTTTGGCCGTGACATACCTGCAGGTCTAACCTTGTCAGACCTCTGAAGCTAAGCAGGGCAGGGCCTGGTTAGTACTGTGATGGGAGACTTCTGGGAACACCAGGTGCCACAGTGGGCCGGCTGTAAAGTGCCAAACTGTCCGATGTGTCCTTAGGCAAGACACTTCACCCACATTGCCTAGAATGAGTCTGGTGTGTGTGTGAATGGTTGGTGGGGGTCTGGGAGGTCATTGGCGCATACTGGTTGCCTTGCTCCGTCTGTGTGCCCCAGGGCAGCTGTGGCTACAGTTGTAGTTTATCAACACAGTGTATGGAGTGAATGATGACATTTGAAGCGTCTCCACATGTTCATGCTCGGCTTGGTCAAAACCAAAGCTGGAGGATTTAAACTATTGTACATGTGGTAGAGGAAACCGGAGAATGCGGAGAGAACCTATGCAGACGCGGGGAGAACATGCAAACTCCACTCAGAAAGTCCTCGTTCTGAGCTGGATCCGAACCCAGGAGACAATTGACATGCGTGCTGTAGCTAGTAACAACTTAATGGAGTCAAATCCCAGTGGAACTCTACAGCATAAAAATGACATGGTCCGGCAATTACAGAATATCTTTTGGCAAGGCAAGTCAAATTTATTTGTTTAGCACAATTCATACATAAGGCAACTCAAAGTGCTGCATAGAACAAGATAGAAACACTCCAATACTGAAGATTGGATTCATGGATATTAGCCAAAATGGGAGCAAAATACACAAAATAATATTACACTACAGTTCAAATCAAATCTCAACGCCATTTCTTTCAGCTCGTGTGTAGCCGTGTCTCTGGCCCTGTTTGTGTTTTTCAGCAGAAGAAAAAAAAACGTTCTGCGTGGAACGAGGGCTTGGGTGGAGCCCGCAGATGTACATGCGTGTTTACATTTGCACACAAGATGGAGAAGGCCTGGGGCTGATAATGCTCACTATTTATCTGAGATTCTTCTGTTAACCATCCATTCCTCAGCTGCTCTGTCTCACGTGTCCAAAAAAAAAACGCTCAGAACATTTGTCCAGCTATTCTCCAGGTTTTCTACACACACACAGAGACACACACACGCGTCCGAAAAGCATACAACGTTGTCATTCAAAGTTTGCCTTCATGTGTGCACTACGTATATTCTACCATACAGTAAAATGCAATAAGTTAATCTTTTGGTTCAGTTATATACAGTACTCATTAAAACTACAGCTTGTGATGCTGAATATGTCACAGTGTTACTCCAATAAAGTATTACTATCAACATGTGCAGCTTGTTTTGGGGCATTTCAAGTCAATTTAAGTGTGTACAGGCCTAAATCACATCTGCAGCCGTCGCGGAGGACTTTAAAAACTTGTCGATTACTTTAAAAAACAGACCAGAGAATCAAACAAGTTCAAATATAGAAATGCTAAAGTATACAGTAAACACATAGAAGCCGTTGGTCCGTAGGTAAAGGGAGGATCGTTGTCCAGGAATGTTTATAAATGACCCGGATTATCGCTGTCTTTTCCATTTTTTTGTGTGTAAATCACGAAAGCAATTATTTAGGAAGACGCAGATCAGAGAATCAAACAGTTCGGACCAGTGTCGGAGAGTCCCGGCTCCAAAAGGTCCATGAGCAATTTCCGCTGACATGCTGCACTCTCACTCCTTGCCTGTGGGGGTGTACCCGGAAACAGAATTACCCAATGCTTTTGTATAGTTTCTTCTTTCCTCTTGAAAACCTCTTTACAGAATGGTCCAAAAGTCGCTCCTGGTCCAAAGCTACGCTCCAGATGCTGTCCATGTCAAGTTTTTGGACCAGTTTAGTTTAGCCGCTGTGGACTTTTGAATGCACTTGAATGCCATTTTGAAAACACAGAAGTTGCTTTATTTTCTCATTCCAAGGGAGACATTTCTTGTATCTTTTTAAAACAAGATCATTTTTCTTTGTCCCATTTGCAAATCTTGTTTTAAGGCAGTCACAATGAGCTCAAATTGAGAAACATTTTGCAAAACCCGAGCAATTTTTGATTTATTTTTCATCACTTTCTGCAGAGTGGGACGACTAAAGAACTATCTTATCTTATCTTAACTCTTCCATCTTCAGCTGCTGGTACGACACATCACTATGGACTCCTTCATCACCACTGCCCTAGACCCTCCTGCATCGGAACGACTCAAAAACCCAGTGGGAAAAAAGTGAGAAACCTTGGGGAGGACCACATTGAGAGGGTTAGGGACTGACAGGCTGTAGATCCAGTTCACAAAAGTACTTTACAACTGAATTACTCTTGACAGTGATGTTCTGTAGACCCTGAGACTGGACTTTCTTGTGGTACTCGGACTGAACTGGAATGCAAAGTTGCTCCATGGCTCTGGCTGCAGGTCTGTGGAGTTCTGAAGCAGCGGAGAGACTAATGTGTTGCTCTTTTGGTTCATTAAACTATTATCCTGTCAGACTGGAGATGGATCTGTTATAAAACCCAGCTGAGAAGACGTTTGTTTGGGTTATCTGCACAATCGCCTCGCTTCTTCTGCCGTACTTGGACTTATGTGTTAAGAGAGGACTCCACGGTGGATCTAGAC